CTTTGTGCATCTGCTTGGAGGAGAGGCAGATACTTTGTTGTAGTTTTCGTATTGGACATCTTGCTAAGATTGTGTATAAAACCAAAGCAATGAGCTTGGAGTCTGTGATCGTCTGTCTATCCCAGAAATGCTTATGTGCCTTTGTTATCTGAGATGAAGATAAGGTTCTTTAGTTGCAGATGAGCTTTTTGGAAGTACTAGAAGTTTTTTGTGAGAGTAGGATGCATGTGTTTGGTGGTTTAGACTGAAGGTGTGAAGCACATGCATAAACTAAAAGTTTATTACACCTGTCATTAATTTTTTTTTTGCAGAAGGATGACAACCTTGCTTTTTTGTGTAACAGACTTTACTTATGAATGGGAGCATTGGTCCTGAAATCTGTATGTGTGTGAACTTTGCACTGTCAGCTAACTTTCCTAAATGCTACTGTGTAGACAAGCTCTTGGAACAAATGCTGTTTCCAATGAAGTAAAACTTGGTACAGCTGATCTAGTGACGTATAAGCCTGGATTAAAATGGAAAGCATTGTGAGTTCACCCGTGCCTTGCAGGCAGGATCATATGTTTTTCAACTGGCATAGCCAAAAATCTGTTTGTACGTAGATATCGTTCCTTCCCAGTGGTAGTCGGTGAACAGATTCTGTTCTACATTCCAGAGGTTTGTAAGAGAGCTGGTGTCCCTGTATCCAACACACTTCATCTCTGAAGCCTGGGCTGTTGGTCTGACTTGGAATAAGGACACATTCATTCCAAAGTGTGTGATCCCCACTGCCATAAATATCTTTGTTTTACGTTGTTTTTTGTTTGTTTGTTTGTTTTTGTATTTAAATTGGTGTTTTGCTTTGTTTTAATGAAAGGATCACTGTGATTATGTTGTCTATTTTAATTCAAGTGACTTTCCGTACCCTATGGGGTTAATTATTTCCCCTGGTTTAAAAAAAAAAAAAAAAGATGACTGAAAATTGCATGCAGTTTCCTAGACTGAATTTTATTCAGACAGATGAGTGTCTTGGTATTGCTACCAACTGCTGCTAACTTCCAGTGTGTTTGGGGGGTCTTATATGTTAAACCTAAAATGCGACATTCGAAAAGCAGACTTCTTACTTGAATTTGTGTATAGTTTGAAGAATCCAGATTTTAATATTCAGGGAGAAATATATAGCACATAGGTGCTTTATATCTAACTGGAAAATCTGAAAGCACTTCAGTTAATTAAATTTCCTCCACATCCCTGTGGGCAAGGTAAAATGCGTAATATCCAAGGTTTACATCACTTTCCAGAAAATGTAGTTGCCTAAGGTATTTAAGAGTTGCATTTATTTATTAAATCAGTATCCAGACCCATCTGTGTTACGTTTGAAGAACTCGTACCCCTGAAATGCCAGGAATTGGTGGTGGTTGCAGGAATTAAATGGTAAGGGTGATTATTCCCAAAGTTAAATTTCACAGTGTAACAGAGCACGAATTTATGGACTGAATGTCTGTCAATGAGGCCTTGTAACCATTTGAGGATCTTGGGGCTCCTTGTTCTTCTGGAATATTAGCTGTCAAGTAGTCACAGCCCTGCTTCACCTTGCCCGCAATTCCCCTTAGTGCCATGTGTCTCTAAGGATTCAGTTTCACCACACAGGGTGAGCAGAAATAGCAGCTTACTGTCACTGAAAAGGGAAAATACACGTCCCTCATCTCAGCCCTCTCTTTCTAGCTCTGTGGTTTTGCTTCTTACCATCTACTGCTGTTAGCATTTGTTGGATTCCTCTGCAAGCCAGTTTAGCTCACAAAAGCAATAAGGGGAAAAAAAAAAAAAAAAAGTAGTTCTTTTGACTACATAGGTAGCTAGTAGTAAATAGTATGACGCAATAAGAGCAAAGCCATGAACCCATGATGCCAGGTACTGGATCCCCACTCTGCATGCATCAGGGTGTTTCCGACTCTCTGTAGTCCTATCCTGTAGACTGAATGCCCTTTAGTTGGACATTCGGATTGGAGTGTATTAAGATACTTAATATGCTTCTGGAACATCTTTCAGTTGAGTTTTATCAGAAACTCTGGCTTGTGGGCTTTCAGACTGCTCCATGATGCCAACCAAGTGTGGTAAGCGGGGACAGTTACGCAATTAGTTTCCAAAGCATACCCCTATCCTCAGCTGAAACAGAGACATGGCCTTAGTGAATTGAATCAGCTCTGCAGGGGAAGGGTGCAAATGGCAAGCTAAGAGAGTAGGGGATGACCTGCTGTCCCTTGGCAGAAGGGAGCTGGATGACAGCTGACATACTTTCCAAATCTGAGTTCCTAGTGTCCATCTTCTGAACTACTTGATGCCAGCTCTGGTTCACTTAAAAAAGCTGACAGGTTTACAGATGAAAACTGCATGCCGTGCAAAGTGGGAAGACTTTAATTAAAAGTTCAAGTTGTCTTGCCAGCTGCAGAGTAAAAGTGTCCATTCAGGAAAATGGTGCAGGTGAGCAGGGATTCCTGAACTGTAAACAAGTGATTACGTTGTATTCATAGACTGGGGCAAGTTTTGGGCACGCATGTTGTTAGCTGTGTTTGATCTGATCATGCCTACACATAAAAATCAGTCCTGAAAGAATACTTGCTGCACTGCGCTTTTTGAAAACTGCAGTTTGTGACTCTCAAGTAAAGTGATACCAGTGTAGAATAAGCTCCCAAATGGAAATCCATGGCCAAAAGTTTAAACAAATAGTATTGTAAGCACTGGAGCTGACGGAGCACACCACATTTTATTTTCTGTCTTGGAGTTGATAGCTATGTCTTTGTAACGGGTGACTGAAGCCTTTCAGAAAGATGGACAATAGCTTTCCTGTATGCAGGTTCTCTCATTATTAGAAATACACAGGTATTCTGAGTAAAGATAAAACAGTCTCCTTTCTCTTTTCTGCCAGTTTTCTTAAAAGGTGTAGAACATAAACATTTTTGATGGGACCTGCTCCTCTGTCCTGTGGTTTGAATGGGCCAACACTCTCTCTACACAAGGCATGATTACATTAGCCTTGTTACCATAAGGAGCCAGATAAGAACAGGGAGTCAGTATTAAGCTCCCAAAACTATGAGGAGGTGAACCAGATGCAAGGAAAAAAGGCACAGTAAATCTTTGCAGCACGCACCTTTCTCATACCTGCCTCATCAGTGGAGGTCCCAAGCCTTTTCAAAGACTCCATTTGTAGTTGATGGGATGAGATGAGCACTGCAGAACTGAACTGGGATTCTGCACAGCCTATGTCGTGGCCTGAGAGGCACTAAAGGAGCATAGGACTCAGTCGTGTACCTTGCTACCTAAGCTCTTTCATGGATCAGGTTCTAAATTAATTGGCAAATTTTTCTTTTTAGACTCCTATCTAAGAAATTTGGAAACTTAACTGGGAGATGGGAAAATAACTTGTTTTGGGAGAAAATGTTTACTAGTTAAGATTTGCAGTAGCCAATTTTCCATTGGAATTTAGTTTGCAGTGCTAGATGTTTCATGTTTTAATCTTCTTGCAGGCATGCTCCCGTAACTGCATTTTGGAGCTAAAATATTTTTGCTTTTTTTGTTAATAGCTTAAAGATGGATTCTCCCAAAGAACCTGCGCCTACAGGAGAGTTCAAGTGTCAGCTATGTGGCTTAACAGCTCCATACACATACTATGGGCAGAAGCCACCCAACACACACTCTATTGTGTAAGTATAGTTTTTCATGTTTTACAGACTTCATTTATGCTCTCGGCATTGGAAACCTTGTGCTGCAGAATAACGTTTGCTGATTTAACCCAGTTATGTGCCATATTGACCATGAATCTTAGGTTTGGTACATAGTGATTTTCTTTTTACACAGGAAAGAAATTTTTTCAAGTGTCAATGTTGATAGCAAAAATAAAAATCAGCTTTCCTATCCTGCTTCAGTACTGTGGACAGACTTGTCTTTTGCATATTTCCTAACTTAGTGGCCACCCTACAATTTACCATAATTTTCTTACTGGAATAGTATTGACTATCAGCACAACCTTTCTGGGAATAGCCTATACCTCACAGCTCTGTCAGCTGGGCAGCACGTAAACACAGCATGAATCTCGTATGTATGGTAAATACACTTTTTAAGAACTGTTTGACATGTGGAGTTTTGAACAGCAGTGCTTTTTTTGCTCTAGACAGTTTTTGGGCATTAAAGTGTGTGGCAATTTAGTACATATTTACTTTTTAGAAGACTTAAGCCTTTTCTGTCTGCCAAGCAGGGATAGTTTGACCAGAAACAATGAAGTTAGTGCTTTGTCTGCAGACATCATATTTACCACAAAACAAAGCACTTAGCTTTAAATGTGTGAGCAGTTCTTTTGAGGTCATCCTGGTTAACAAATCCATCAGGCAAACATATTCGGGAATGAACAGGAAATCAGGTGTATATCTGTGTTTCATCTTTCTAAGACAACTCTATTTCTTATAAAGTTGAAGCAGCTGTTGATTGCCACCTACTTCAGCTGAGATTAGATTTGTTTTCCTTAGACAGCTGTATTTTCATCATTCCAAATCCCACAATGCTATTAATTTTTCCTTTGTCCACTCAGAAGAGGAATGGACCTCCTTCGATCACATACTTTTGTAAAGAGTCTGGATTAAAGCTGAGTGTAAATCTTAATGCTAGGTTATCCAAGCTTGGTTTTAACATCTAGACTGTAATTGAATTGTTGAGATTCAAACAGCAAAAGAATAACGATGTAGCATAACACTTCTGTATGTGCCTAAAAAATAGCTTTACGTACTGTCTTCAGTGATTTATTTTCTTGTCTCACTAGTTCTAAATGCAGTGCTACAGGAACCATATGCCAAACATGAAGGTTTGTACAATGGCCCAGACTCTGTGCTGATGATGACTACATCAAGCTTAAAAATCTTGCAAAGGAAGCTTTGCAAAGATAATCCAGTGTTTATACACTGGAAGACTTGTTAAGGAGTTGATCTGCTATGTAAAGATGCCTGCTTCTTGCTAACAATGAAAGGGTGAAAGGCGTAGGCCATGCCTCTTTATGAGCGAGGGGGAAAAAGGAATGCACCTACAGATGCTCATGTATGTACATGTGTCTATATGCAGGCAATTAAAAGATGATAGTATGAGTTAACAGTATCTTTTAAATATGTATTATACTCCATATTACTACAGAATTCAAGATTGATTTATATGCAGAAATAAGCCAGCCTTGCAGGGTGCCCTGTGCAGACAGACAACAAACTGACTTCTGCACTGTTTTGCCTAGAGCTCTCAGGAAGAATAAGGCTTTATCTTTCCCAAGCAGGTTGCCAATTTATTAATAAATGCAAATTATTAATAAATGTTTCTCTGATGCAAATTATTAACAAATGTACTCTCTGAAAACTACAGTCTCTGACACAAAGGAAGAATATATTGGATCATTGTAATGCTTTGTGCTATCAGCTCCTGCTTGGTAGTGGTGAGAACTATAGCTTTACAGCGTGGACATAATTAAGAGCAGGCTCTTTTTATTTTATATTTGGTGTATGCAGCTTTGGAAGAGAAATCCTACTTAAAGTTGTGCAGTTGAGGTAATAACTTGAGAAAGTACTAAAACTGGCTGTGTGAAAGAGTGCCTGTCATGAAAGCAGACCGTAAGGAATACTTGAAAGCAAAGCACTGAAAAAATGCCTAATAAGACAATGTTGAAATTATCATCAATTGCCCTAATCTTGAAAGCTAGATAGTGGAGTATTGTTGGCAGCAAGCAGTCACAATGCTGGTTTTGAAGAAGGGAGCTGCATAGCTGCTACATTGCATCATGCAACACCAGAGGGAAGACTGCCACCCTTTCAGCCTCCCGATTTCCCTGTTTGAACCCTTTCCATACTGTGAGATCTACCTTTAAAAGTCTGAAATTATTCTCTTACAGGATTTTGGAAGACAGTTATGTCATGAAGGACCCTTTCACCCCCGACAAAGAGAAATTCCTCATCCTTGGGTCTCTGTGCTGTTTGTGTAGAAGAAGTGTGTGTGTTGGTGCAGTAAGTAACAAACAAAACAAACTTCTTCAGACATTTCTTTTTGTTCCAGTCCAGGACCACACATCAAAAACCCAAACATCTTATTTTTAAGACTGGCTAACTGCATGTTCTTGTTGATTACCCTGTGGTAAAGCTAATAAATGGAAACAATCAGCAACTTTATGTGCTATTTACTGAGGAGCACACTCCATCCTCTCAAGCATAGTGCAGACTCTTTTCTAATTTCTCAGCACATACAAATGCAGGGGAGTTCACATACTACTTCAAGATCTTTAGGTTTCTTCTTATAGTATTGTAACAGTGGTAGATTTTTCCTGTACAGAGGATATGAACAACCATAGGTTTGCATCTGCAACGCAAGCTCACTGTTGTATTTGCAAGAGCTCATGTAGAAATTAAACGGAGAGGAGAGTTGTGCAGTGCTGTGATAGCTCTCTAAAGAAGAACGAATTTGAATAGCAGCCAGCACCAACTTTAAGCTATGAAATCTGAGCACAGTCCAGAAAAGTGGTATAAAATTTCAGTTGTCTTAATAACTTCTCCTCGGTGCTGGGCTGGTCCCTTTGTTTGCTGTGAGTTCAAAGCAAAAATGAAGACAGTTATTACACAGTTATCACTGTCTGGAGGCTGTACTGTGCTTCTTTAAGGCAGTACAATTAATGAGAAAATTCAGGTTCTACTCCTTTCCCTCAGCATGTCAGTTTTGTGTCTGAAAGAGACTTGGAACTCACGGAGAGGTCAGGATGCATGGATGAGTCAGCCCAGGAGGCAATGTCACCTGATCATTTAAATGGACTACAGCATGTATTTGTTCAACCAGATGCCACTGCCCTGAGAGCAGCCAAATCCTGGCCTTTCTTTCAAAGTGGTCATTCCTTATCTCAGATCAGTGTGCTTAAATCTGGAGTGCAGCTAATAGCATGTATCTGAGCACACCTTAATCTTAAGTGTCAGCTTTAGCAGTTTTCAAATTCAGCCTTTTCAGCTCTTCCTTTGTTTGCACTTTGTAGGGACTAGCTTCAGCGACATGACTCTTTCCAAAAGTAGCTAGTAGTATGAGTTTAAAAACAAACAGCCAAATGAAAAGAAAAAAATGAAAGACATGCACTTCGTAAAGGTGGGGAATTTTTTTCTCATGTTTGGTGGCCATTTTTCTGGTAGGACAGAGCAATACTGTTGGCATACTCAGAGCAGGAAGTGAGATAATATGGGCAGCTGAGACAGCTCATATGCCAATGCCAGACAATTTAGGTGTTGGAACTGAGGAAATTCTTCTGAGATTAAAAATAAAGGTCAAATTATGCTCACAGAATTTGGAGAGAGAAACACAGCTGAGACTCTTGGACAAGTTTAAGCGTTATTCTGATTTGCAGGGAATTATTACTGAGCATGAATTTATTACACTGCTCTAAGAGGAGTGTGAAATTAGCACTTTTCTCCTGATTATGTTCGTGTACCATTTCTGAAGTCTCTTCTGTCATGTCAATGAAAGAAAATCACAAAAAGATCAGATTAGCATTTGCAACTGGGATTTGTTTTTCTTTTTAGAACTACCTGAGGATTCCTACGGGAATCAGATGAAGCCCGAGTGCTGAACTCAAGTTTCTGGAGACAAGTAGCTTAAGGCAGTTGTGTGCATGTACACAGTGTGGAGGTAAAGCTGACATGTGAGCAAGGTCTTCCTTGTGGCAGTGAATGTCCCTGTCTGGGCTGGTGGTTGCCTCAGTCACACACAAACAGCCAAAGTAATAGCAAGCGTATGGGCAAGTGCAGATCACATAGTTAGGGGTAATGAGCTTGATTCTTGCCCTAACAAGTCAGGTTTACCCCTCCTATGTAATTGCACAGGATTAGTAACTCAGGCACACTTTGGGCAAACTTGAGCTCTTTTTGCTATTTGCATTCACAATTCAAGTGTGTTGAACTTATGAAGGATTCAACAGATATTTTCAAATCTGGCAATCAAATCTATCAGAAATATTGAGGTACAGCCTCTCAGTGTCCTACCATGCAGTCTTCCTCTTCTGAATGTGGGTGTGTTTTTTTATTTTAAAAGGTTTAATAACAGTTTCAGATAATCTAGAGTGTGACAGCATAGAAGACATTAGCAATGAATAGTAAAAGCCTCTTTTAAAACTTCTTGTATCTTTTAACACTTCTTGTGCCTATTTTAGCTGTTGTGTAAATATGTCAGGCATTTACTGTTTGTTACCTGAGTCTTCATTATTCCCCTAATGGTATCACTCAAAGCAAAATCATAATCATAAATTATTGAAAATAAATTCCTTACCAAACTGGCCAGGCCAGATAGTGAATCATGCATACAACTATGGTTTCCAAATCTGTTTAGCAATGCTGCTTAGGTAACATTGAAAGAGATCTGCAGAAATGATAATTACTGCTTTAAACACCCACACTAAAGTAGGTAAATACATACTATTTCTCTTTCATGTAGGGAAGATTAGAGTGTAGAGAGGTAAAAATTTATCCAAGGCAATAGAGAGAGCTATAGTTAGGATAATATCTCTGTGGGTTGTTTCTGGTTCCTGCTATTGCTTGACCCAACTACATCAACTGAGCCTTATGCTGTTTCCACGATGTTATAACATAGGAATTGAAAGTAAGAAAATCATATTTTCTTGGTCCTCGTTGGCGAAGAGGCTGGAGCAATATGGTGGAAAGCTGTCTGTGACAGGTTGAGTTAACATTTCTCTGTTAACTCAAAATATAGTACTAGACTAACGTGTAGTAAAAATAAGACTTGTCTGATCCTAGGTTTAGCAAAGGGATTGGATTTAATTTGCTAGCTTTTGTATCTTAGAATGAGATTTTAGGCTTTTTTTGAGACACCCCGCACTAGCGGAAGTGTCTTTACAGCTGCTGTGCCAGGGGAAGTCAAGATTTATGTTCTATATGATGTTCATAAACTCACGTCTTCAGATAGTCTCTCAAGTCTCACTAAGTTATTTTACAGTCAACTTGCATTGTACTCACTCTACTGAACCAGTCTTTAGCACATTGTTGATAAATAAGTTTGGTACAAATGGAAGTAATTCTAATGATTGTTTTAAAACATGCTAAAAAAAAAAAAAAAAAGGAAAAAAAATGAAAAAAATTAGAATAATAAAAATATTTTTAAAGTCTTTAGAAAGACTTAGTTCCTTTTTCCTGTTTCTTTTTCATTGAAGGGGAGAGGAAATGATGTAATGTGATCGTTAGTCATTTAAAGCAGGCATTTCCTTTTATTGCAACACTTACTAAAAATAGGTTTTACACACTTATAAGAAGCTACTTTTAAAGAAGAAATGATGAAAGGGAGCAATTTTCATCTGTTACTGCTCACTGTAGCAGGAGCTGAGTAGACAGTGACCTTGGACATGATTGTAGGTATTAAGTGATAAACATAACACTACAGCTGCTTTCCACACAACTTTCAGTCATGCAGGGTCAGTCCTGAAGAAGGTTAGGCAGACTCTTTCCTTTACATAGGGTTTCCTTCATAAGTGTGCTAAAAATAATGCCGTTATCTATATTTTTGACACAATCCATGTGAGAAGAGAAATAAACTCTGTCAGTTAGCTTTGACAGCTCAGTTTTGCCTGAACTGGATGAAAATGCCCCCTCCTGACTTGACTGTGGTTGTGGTAAAACATACTAAGGAGTTAAAGAATTGTCTAGTTAAGGATGGAGTCCTGTCAGGACAGTGATCAAAGGAGGGCTTGGATATACATAATGAATATAATTTGTAGCAGGTAGGCTATGTTATCCCATGACTGAGGGAGGAGTCTGAGGACTCCGTCCCTGGAGGTGTTCAAGGCTGGATTGGATGGGGCCCTGGGCAGCCTTGCCTAGCATTAAATGTGGAGGTTGGTGGCTCTGCATGTGGCAGGGGGTTGGAGATTCATGATCCTTGTGGTCCCTTCCAATCCTGGCCATTCTGTGATTCTGTAAAGGTGTGTGTACCCGCAATCCGGATGTGTGTGGTTCATAGGCATGATTCTGTGTAAGCCCCATAAGTAGAAATCAGCAGAAGCTGTCAACTCATTTCAGTTAAAAGAATGCAAATTGAGCACCTGTATGTCTGTGAGGAGCTCGGTCTTAACACCTGAGCTTCTCATCTGCAGAGTGGGGCAAAAGCCTCTCCCGCCTTTGCCACTGCTGAGCAGTATCCTCAGGTGCAGTGGCCATCCCTATGGAGCCATGAAGTTAACCTGAGGGCCTGGGGAGCTGTGTGCCATATTGTAATACAAGCAACAATAGCAGGGCCAACTTACACTCTAATCCTCCCTTTTTAACTGGCAGCTTAATGTATTAAGGATATCAAAGGTCAAAAAACAATAGGCTGTGAGACCATGCAGGGGGCTTTTCAGAGGGCCTCACACAACTCTGAATGTGAAAAAGCATGACAACTGGTGCAGAAAAGGACAATAGATGAAGAGAATTTGTCACACAGAGGCAAGGAGACTGTGATTTTGATATAATCAAGTGGTACCTACTGTTGAAGTGCGGAAGGTGAGTGACAAGGGAAACAAAAGTGAGAACAGAAATGCAAAAGTATCCAAACCAAGTTCTTAGAGAAAGGCCAGCCACAAACATCGTGGTAGGAGGAAAACTTTGCCTGAATAGCAAAACCCTTGAAATCTACTGCACCCGGAAAGATGTCCTGATCCATCTGAACTGATGTCTTTATTCATGCTTAAATCCCCAAGAATAATCCATCAGTAACACCGCTGTAGCTTACTTATTAAATCCTGTTTGGAATTTAGTGATCAGCACGCCTGGAGAACTAAGAACTTCAGTCTCACTGCAGGGCAAAAGAGTAACACTTCAATAAGCTTCTCCTCCAGTTGTCTGAACTCTGCACTGCAAATAGATTAAAATATTCCAGCAATTTCCCTTCTTCCCATTCAATAATTCTAGCATCTGGTTAGAGCTAACTGTGTGGAAAATAAATATGGGGTCTGTAACACTCTTTAACTAAATTAGATGTGAACTATGTCAGGTCACAGAGCCATTCCATTTCAAGGGCAGGAAAACATCTTTGAGCACAACAGATTCTAATACTTTGCCTTCAGTAACTGCAGCAAGGGATGTCCACTCAACCTTTAGTACGATGCATGGTTTTGGTTTTTAATCAGCGAGTACATTTATTCAAGGTAAAAAATGTTAAAGGGTGAAATCTTGGTTAAAGGATGAAATCTCAGTTGAATTGTCTCAGCTGAATTAAATTCAGTTAGCTATTCTGATTACTGGACATCTCTGTGATATTCATACAGTATACTTTAAGTATTCTCCTAGGGCTATGCAAACATGCAAATTACAAAGACAAGTTTTCAGGTAGTTGTGGAAAAATATGCAACTGAAGTCTCAGAGCTCACTGTTTCTGACCTACATTCTTTGTGCTTGACTTTGCCCTTCTGCCATTTCATGGAAATTGGCAAGAAGAGCTTTCTGAAACTTCAGATCTCAAATGCCAGTTCAGGAAGCTGGAAGATCTTCCCAGCAGGGAGAAATCTTGGGAAGATAAATGAAGATTTAGCAATAGAGAACTTTGCTGTTTAGATGAAGCCCACAGAATCTGTTACTCCCAGAAAGATGTTCTGATCTGTCTGATGTCTTCATTCCTGTTTAACTCTTCAGGAATAATCCATCAGCAACAGCAGCTTGGCTTACTCATTACACCTTGTTTATAATTTAGTGATCACACGAGGAATGATTCTTGAAGGAAAAAGCAAACTGCAAGGAAATTGGTAACTGTTTACTATAGCACTGAGCTAATGAAGGTCAGTTCTTTAAAATAATTGTTTATTTGGTTAGCTTTTATTACAGTCCAGTTTTTATTTTTCTCTCAGTACCTCAAGTAAGGTGTTAGAATTACTGAATAGAAGAAGCAAAATTGCTGGAGTATTTTAATATAGAAGAATAATTTAATTCAGAATAAAGATTCTACATATAAATGTGGTTCAATGAGAGTGGAACTTAAGCAGTTCCATTTTGTGTATCCAGCTAATACTGTTTTCTTTACAGGAATGTAGTCTGTTCTACACTAAAAGGTTCTGCCTCCCCTGTGTGAATGAAAACTTACAGGCTTTTCCTTTGGAAATACAAGAAGATATGGAAAAAAGGAAGCCCCAGTCAAAGTCTAAGAAAAAAATGGATTCAAAAACATAAATACTGAAAGACCAAGAGAGAGAGACAGTTCTTCGGCTGAGCTTTCTCCTCTCTCCTTTTTAAGACTATCATGTTGCTCCTTTTGAAGTAGTGACCTTCATTAACTCTCTGCTACAGAACACAGCTACACGTTTCCCACTGGCTTGGCTTCAAGCATCACCATGCAGCAATTGCAGCACCAGCAGAATGGCCTTAGGGTGCTGGAAAAGCAGAAGGAATGTCAGAAAGGCCTGTTTGTTGCCTTATCAAATGCATGTAGTAAAAAACTGAACAGCGTTAAAGCATAGGAACTATATCCCAGTTTCCCATTTGCTGTTTTAATGTTTTGTATGGCTCTTAATAATCCTACAGTGTTACGAAAAATCTGAGAGATTTATCTGACTTAATTCGCTCTACGTCCAAGAATGTAAGCAGCAATTGTGAACCTGCCATTGTTAGCTTGGTAAGATTACAGTGAGGAAGGAAGTCAGAGCTTTATTTTTAAGTCCAAAATGATAGTGGTGGGACAAAACGTCATAGATAGCCACAGAAATATCTAAATTCAAAATTCCTGTATCAGTACTATCACAGAAAGTACATGCTTTTATAATGGCAACATTTACATTTTTTAAAATAATAATTTTTAGAAGGATACAAATCTGCAGTCACTTTGCACTCAGCTTTCCAGTCCGTCTCTGCACAGTGATGGAAGAGGTTACTTTGTCTAGTTTAATATGGAAATCCAGCTACTGAAGTCAATTATTTTCTGAAGCGGGCAGTTGAACAATCAGGATTTGAGAAACATGGTTTTAGTAAAAAATATATATATAAAAAATTGCTAGGAGAAAAAGCAATTTCTTTAGTCTCTATATTGGCATCATGAATGTCTGTGCCTTGACTTTGCCATAATTACGAGGAAGATTTATATGCTAATATAGTCAATCAGTCACACACCTTGAGGATATGTCCAGAGTGCTCCATAAGCTCCGCATTCATGCTTTTATTTTATTGTAAAAAATATTTTATTTTTTTTTATTCATGCTTTTTTGGTCACTGGTTCAGAACCAGTATCAATGCCTCGGTTATCATTGCTCCTTTTCTCTACTCTTTCAGCTTTATCATTTGTTTTATACTTACGCAATCCTTTTAGGAGGATCAGCCATGTATCTGCTAGAAGAAATCAACATAATTTTGATGAGTTATTTTATGTTATTTAAGACTTTCTAATGTCCTGGAATCTTTCACTGTGTTTTTTACTGAACCTCATGTATTGGTTTCTGCTGTTGGAGAGTAGAATTTCTTGCAGTTATTAGAGGAGCAATCATGGATATATTGCAACCTTTTTCAAGCTCTACTTGCACTTGAGTATGAAATGCATAGATCTCTTTAATTGCCTAAAAAAATACTTGTTAGAACTCAACATTTCAGATTCCCTTCTGCAGTAGTAAGAGGTTACTCTTTCAAATAAAGTGATGTGCATCTTGCTTAAAATTGGTGTTATTCAATTTTAGTTCCATGTTACACACAGCTTCTCCCCCCCCCTCCTTACTTAACACAAGATGCTATGGTATGTTTACACAGGCAAATGTCTTTCTAAAACATTATCTAAGTTTTTATTTTCTTTATTTCACAGTGTTTGCAGCAGGTTGTATGTTAACTCTTAGCCTGAAAGTAGGTTTTAAAAGCCTGGTGAGTGCAGTTCAAGAGTAAAGTACAAGAGGCCACCAGCAGAGCGTAACAACTCTGCCAGTCTCAAAACCACAACAGTAGCATGACTTATTTTCTGGAAATGAAAGATCAGCACAAGTCATTAGGTTCATTTTAAAAATACTTTATTTTTTTTAAAACCATTAAGGCAAAAACTTATTGCAAATTAATCGTGTTTACATTCAATCTTGCAGGATAACTTTTTTTTTTTTTTCTTTTTAAAGCACAGAGGTTTCCAGCAGTCTCTATACAAACAGTGAATCCAACCATTTATGTTTTAAAGGAGAAGGAAACAAACAAACAAAAAAAACAATGTAAAAAAGTTCCAAGTTTTTTCATTCTATCTCGGTAGGCCGGTAACATCTGAGAAGCCACCATCACGTTACACTAGATGTAACTTTTACATTCACGCATGTACGTGACTTTGTCTTTCCTATAAGACCCTGTGAGCCCAGGGCTGCTGTTCTTTCCTGGAAATCCCGTCTGCATTTTGGTCTGACAGAAAGACCCTCTGGAACCCAGAGGCACTGGGTGGGATTTCACTGAGAAACACATTCCATGGGAATCAGGTTTACTATTCCCTTCCAGAAATGCCAGCTCTTTGCAATAAAACACACCCCAAAATTCCTCTAAAAATAAATTAAAAAAAAAAAAAGACTGGAAACAATGATTTGGGTTTTTGTTGTTTTTTCTTTTTCTTCTTCAATATCATTATCTTGACATAATTAAACACTTATTAGCTCTACCGACTAGGATTTGGCAATGCTAACAAAAATGTGCTTTTTTTCTGTCGTAGCAGGTAACAGACAATTTAACACACCATGAAGGGTTCTAACATCGTGACGTAATTGTTACATTCCTACAGAAAATCAGAGTGATTGTATAGTGAAATATCAGGAGCGATATGAAATGCAGCTCATCTGAGAAGCTGATACCACAGATAGTGTCAACCCCCACCGCGGGCGCCCCCATTCTTTTTAAAATCTGCACTATTCAAACTTAGATCAGCTTTGTTGTCACTAAGGAAGCCGCAAATGTTCTTCCACTTCCGAAACCAGAGGAAAATATCTGTGGCCACTGAGAGGAAGCCACAGCCTCCCACTGCCAGCCGCCCCACGGGAGCTGTCCCTGCAGGGAGCGAGGTGAGGCATTTCGTTGAAGCAGCCTCTTCCCATTCTCTATGTGATTGTCGGGGACATAACGGCGCAGATGAGCGGATCAGCTCCATCCCCAGCAGCTCCGAAGAGCGCTGCAGGACCGACGGGGCAAAGGCGCCGTGTCTCCGTGAAGGCAATTCCGACACCGGGCAGCAAAACTTTCCTGTGGCACGCAGATGTGCCTGAGGTAGGGAAGCCTGGATGTGGATGGCTCTTTGTGTGGCAACGTGCATATGAATCACCCGGCAGTTTTGCTAATCTTACGACTCCCATTACACATCACCGAAGAGATTTTGAATGTTTATACTGCACTCCTACGCAGTAGGAGGAGCGTGTGCCACTATTTCGGTTGGCTAATATTTACCACCACCATTTTTTTTTTTTCCTCTTTCAGGGGTGAAGAATGCCGTAAAACTTTTTGCATTGTGCTGCTTTTTTTTCTTCTTCTTCTTTTTTTCCCCTCCATAGTAGCAATTACAGCTCATGTGTATCCAACCTGAGAAAACATACCAAAATACTTAAAATGGCTTTTAAGTACCTTATGCCTGCTCTTGCAGTCCAGTTCATTCTTAAGGCCCAGCCTGTAAGGAGATTAATCTCTCTTGTGCCTGTAGCCTACCCCTGGGGCAGAGGCAGCCCAGCTGAAATTGAGGTCCTTGCAGTAGAAATTCTGTTTTGAAACAAGGCTTCGGCGGAATCTGATGAGATAACACTGATGCAATCAGTCAAGAAGATTAAGGGGAAAAAAAGGCTTCAGAAGCTGAAGAAGCTTTAAAAAAAAACCAAACTGTAAGCACGTTAAGGAAACCAGAAGAGGAATGCCTTTGCCCTAGGATGGATTTAGTTAGCAATGCATTTATATGATATATTTACAGTGTAAAGTGACACATTTGATGGTAGCTTTTAAAGTTTTTTTCCATTGCTGTCTAAGGAATTCAGAAAAGAAGCAGCCATAAGTTACATTTCATCCTAACCCAGACTTACTTTAAGGAAGTCTATATTCTGTGTGAAAATCCAATTTTCAATTTGGTGCCAACTGTCAATGCCAAACGGTGACAAGTTGCAGAATTTATGATAGGAATAAAACTCACACAGGAATAAATAGATGCTTGCCTTTGACTTAAGGCCCACCACCCTTACCCATAAAAGTAAATCTTTCCTCACTGTACAAAAGGCTTCACAAGATAAAGTATGAAACAAGTATTTAAATTAAATAATTTACATATTTTTCTTAAAGTACCTCTGTAATATAATTTAGTGAAAGTTTATACCTTGCAATTATATTCTGATATTTTACAAATCAAAATGTGAAGAAATGGTATTACATTACATTAAAAAATTCCATAGTACATACGATCAATATCTCAGATCAAACCCACATATAATTTAAATCTCTAGTAAGAGGACAGCAGAGCTAATTAACTCTAGATTAAAAAAATATATATCCAACTCATTATCAAGAAAGCACTTGAGATATAAGCAAGTACCAGATACCGTACTAACCCTCACATTTTGACACTTACTAAGGGATCGGGGTTTTCAGTGAAGGTCCACTCTTTATAAGAACTTATCCTTAAGTAATAACCCGACAGCTGCAAATGCATTTGTTAAAGGCAGTTGCAGATTTTCTACTAAGTAACATGGTCGCTTTTAAGGAGAGACAGAGCTGAAATTGTTCCTCTTTAGACACAGTAGAAGCAGCTACAGCACAATCTCTGATTTCTTTGTCTGACACGATGCTCAAGTTGTCCAGGCTTTCCATTAGAGATAAGGAGGAAGTTTCAATTTACCAGTGTGTGACCCAGCTCCCGTGATGAATAAATCTCCAAAGCTTTAGCAGTTTGAATAAACAAACAAATGTTTGGATGCTTATTATAAGCTCTTTGATTTGCAAACTTGTGCTAGCTCTCTCATGAGAACGGACTTAGTGCAACTGCTGGTATTTCCTAAATCTGTGCAGGCCAGAAATAAAGCTAAAATATGCTCTTTGGCAACACTTCAGCTTTCTAGCAGCTGGCTAGAACCAAAGCACAAAGGCACATGGAAATGACAAAAGAAGAACACTTCTTTAAATGCCAAGAAAGATTTGATTTCTGTCCATTGACAGTCAATTTGTGTTTTAAATAAAAGTGGATTTCCGAAATTTACGTAAGGTACAATGCAATGTTTTGGTTTTTTTTCTTAAAGACAGCTGTGCACTACCAAACTGAACACAGAGTACCTTTAAACAATATATTATAGAGTTTGAAAATGAGTACTCCTAATTATTAGAAACAACCCCTTTTTTTTTTTTGCTTTTTCTTTTCCCTGCCATTAAAGTACCTAAGGCTTACCAATAAATCAAAAACTAAGAAACAAAAAGACCCTCCAAAGTGAATAGGTGGTAGGTTTATTGAAATCCTAAATTGCACCATTGCTCCTTAGGATCCCTATCTACCTGCTGCCTCTGGTTGTAAGCTCATTCCCACAGTTAGGCACTCCTGGTCCCTAACCAGGAGTCTTCAATGCTATTACATTAAAATAAGCTAGCGTAGATAAGAATCAGATCAAAACTATTCATAGCAAATTAATAAGCCTTTAATAAATCTTTATCCTGAAATCAGCTAACTTCATTTCCCTCCATAGATTGAACATTTTAAAATATTAAATGATCTCTATGATGTGGAGATGCTGAAAGCTCCTCAGTAATATACTTAAAACTTGTCAGACTCCAAACTTCTTGAAAATGAATGTAAATTGAGTACTTTTGACATCTAATTGGCAAATATCTACTTTAGTCATCCACACAAGTCTCTGACGTAACTTTTTAGAAGCAGAAGGTTTAAATTAAGAACTTCCTTTTGCACACTTACGCAAGTGAACTGTCTGCTCTGTTTCATTCTTTGAGAAACGCACAGAATTGCAGAATCACTGGGGTTGGATGAGACCTCTGGAGATCAGAGTCCAACCTCCTCTGCGAAAGCAGGTTCACTACAGGAGGCTGCATAGAAAAGTGTCCAGGTAAGTCCTGAATATCTCCACAGAAGGAGTCTGTGGGTACATGCACAGTGCAAACCTGTAGACGGTGGAATTTATGCGGAATTTTCAGCTACATTATCATCTTGTTTATACTTCTGTAACTCACAGATGTATTCTTGCCATACATTTAAAGGCCTGCAATTTAATTTAAAATAGAAATTGAATGCTGGTGTCCAAAGGGATTATTCAAAAAAATGCTTGCATTTTCTTTTGTTATTAAGAAAAAACGCACCTGAAGTGAGAAAAAAAATGCAAATAACGCACTTTCCTAATTTCCTAAAGTAATGGGATCCTGTTACAAAGAGGCTTCTAATATAGATACAAAGCTGTTTTAAATTCTTTATAATTTTGCCAAATTTAAGTATTTATAATGAAACTTTTCAGTTCCAGTTGAGTGTATTAGCCATTTTTGGAAACAATAACGGAGAAAATACGTTTTCTCCACAGTGATTTTGTCTTTTCGTTTGTTTGTTTGTTTTCTGAGAAACTTCAGTACATGCAAGTAATGGAAGAGAACTTTCAAATTTGCACTTTGCACATGACTGTGCTTTGGGGGAAAATGCAGCTTACGCTCTTCTTCAGAAGACAAACTTGAGCCAGTTGGCTGTTAGAGTTTTCACCGTTAGAATTTCCACCACCATCAGCTGCACGCCGCTAAGCACTGCGCACTTCCTATGGATGGATGCAATGTTTACAGATTGCTAATATGCCATTGTGAGATTTTGGCTACTTCCTTAACTAAGCAATATTGCTTATCAAATACCTCAGTGCTGACTATCTTATACCCAAAAGCCACCGTTTCCTTGAGAGACAAGGCTGACTTGAAGAATTAAGCAGCATTACTGATAAAACCTTCCTGTTATTTCTGAGGGCACAGTACTTACTGTTGCAAGACACAAGACAACCCATTTCTCATCCACTGTTTCCCAGTAAAACCAACAATCTTCCCTTACTGAAGTGTTCGAAGGAGCTGTAACATAATGCTTATTCATCCCAGCTGTGGGGAGAAGAAGGTAACTGACAGGGAATGCAGAGGAGGAAGTTCTGCGCATGTGGACCTAATTCTTCTATCTTGCCTTAGAAGGTCACCAAATTTGAGGCTGATGCTTTAGTATTTCGCACTAAAACTTCTGCTAATGGCCATCATCTAGGTAAATACCAAATTGCTGTTAAACCAGTAATTTATTCAGTGCCTAGCCATGCCAGTGGGCTTGTGCAAAAACAAATGTAACCAAATAAGCACCAATACATGATGTTCTCACTTCATCCATCTTAATTAATTCAGAGAATGTTTAAGATCCTAATGTTTCCAAACAAGCTACAATAAAACAAGGAAAACTTGTCATCCTGTGGCACTGAAAGCTTAACTGGTTGCAAAAATGTTAAGACTGGCTCCTGAAGCCTTTGCTATGAAACAGATAGTAAAATACAGAAATAACAAACTGAAATTATCAGATTAAAAAATGTCAAGAAAAAAAACTAGCACAGTGCCTTGTATGCAACTAGCACTTGCTTTCACATTTTGTGCATTAATCTCAATAAGGGACCCTGCAAAATGCCAGAGGCAAGCAGTTTCCTTGTAGCTTATTTTTAATCAAGAGTAAGTTCTATCGTAAAACACTCGGGTATATGATAAACTTACTCTCAGTTGTACTCTCTTTCATAACATCAGACAATTGACAAGCTCTATTTTCTTGCCACTTTATCTACTATGGCTCTAATGAGAAGGAGAAAATTTGGTAAAATAATCCAGCTATTACTTCTATAGGCAACGTCTATCAAAGATTAGAAATATATGAGTGAAGAATTGGAAAAAAAAAAAAAAAAAAAAAAAAAGTACTCATCAGAAAAGTAAACAAGTTCAATTAACTCCATACTGCCAAGATACAGGAAGAAAGTACCTTTCCTATGTAATCATTTCTTCAGAGTAAGTTATCATTGCACTAGAATGCTGTACAGTTGAAATTCTTCCCCCACTCTCCCCCCTCGATCAGATTTTTCTGTCTGTCCAGAACTCTGGCTGATTCAAAGTTGTATTCTTAAGTCAAAACTGACTGCATCTTGAGCTATTGTAAGTTTTCCAAGCTACACATGGTTAGACAAGTTTTTCCTCAGGGAGATTTTTGCATTTCCTTTCCTTTCCAAACAACAGTTCCATGACTTAGCACTTTTACTCTTCCAGAAAAACCTGAATAGTACTATCTGCTGTATTGTTTATTTTAATGCTTGGGATTTTATTTCATTTATTGAAAGTATTGTCTTTTCAGTGCACTAATTGTAAAGTACACCAATGCCATGCTATGTGCAGCTGTAGTGTGCTTCATGGATTTCAAGCAATGGCACAAGAAAGGTCTTTCAAATTTTGTATATATGTATGTACAGTAATACCCAATCATTTGATAAATCTAGACTGATTGCCTCTAACGAAAAATAATACTTGTCCTTCAGTATTTCCATTAGCCAAGAATGTGTCACCTTTATGACGGTGCTTGTAGCTGGAGGAATCTGCTGAATTTGTTATTGTAACTCTAAAATGACTAAGCCAAGAGGAAATACTTTTTTTTTTTTCTTTTTTTCCTCCTCATTTCTGTTACTTAACATTCTGATTTATTATACAAATATATGTTCTTTAGCAATCTTCAGATTTCCAAATAAAAGAACTGCTTTAAGGCGCTTCATGAACATTACGATCAGTATTTTTCTGCAGAACTCATTCGAATGAAGACAGAAGAACTCAAACAAAAGACCTGTAGCACTCCAGTTACTTAGCTTTTACGTTTTTCACGCTCCGAACTGAGTGAACAGCTGATAGCAAGTGATTTTGCTCCCATCTATTATTAATATTGCTGTTGTCTTTAAACATCGCGGAAAAAATACTAAAAATCCTTAATACATATCCCTGTAGATTTCCTGCAGTAAAGGGTGTAAATGTGCATCAGATTCAGTCTTCTTGATTATCTGCACAAGTTGAGCGTGCTCTGTGACAAGCTGCCGCAGGTCCGCCATTTTTTGGAGAAGTTTCGGGAAGAGGAAGATGTCATCAGGATGGTTGGTCTGCAAGTGCAGTTTCAGTACATGCACAATGCTCTCCTGCATTTTTTCAATGTGTCCTACGTTTACGAGACCAGGACGATCTATTCTCAAAACAGAAGAATACATGTCAAAATTTTTGAAATATTCTTTATTGTAGGCTATCTTATGGATTCTATATTTCATAGACTAGTACAAATTTATATTATACACTTGAGGGCAATGACAATCACCTCATCAACTTCAACAGGTTTTGGAACAGGCTTAAAGTAAACTTTTAAAAAAATGCAGTCTTAGCCCTCAGGTCAAAGCATTTTCAATGCCCACAGTTATTTGAGGAAAGCTCATAGTACTAAATACAACCTGTGCTGCTAAAGGAAAAAAAAAAAACAAACCAAAAAACAAACAAACAAACAAAAAAAACAACAAAACCCACCCCTTCCACTCGCAAAACTAAAAGAAGCATTCAGCCTAGGAATCCAGTTCTATAATCTGCATGCCACAATAAAATAATTCAAATAGTAAGGACAAGAGTTAAAAAACACATGGTTATTTCTAAAGATGTTTTCAAGTTTGGGAGCTCTAATCAAGATACAAAATATCTGGCTTTCACCCTTGGTTCCCATACAACTTGCTATAGCATAAATTATTGACAGGGTGTAGAGAAGTACCTACTAAGGATGGTTCACACTTTTCAGCACTGGATCCCACTTGCAGCTACTTACAATCCTATACTATGCTATATCTACCTATACTATCCTATACAACTCTATGGGTCAAACATATCTGTGAGAAGTCACAAGCTAAATTTGTTTCTTGCAAACTTCAACTATTTCCACAGAGAAGAAAAGAAAAAAATACCATTTTGCCTGAAAAGAACTCTCTTGACTTTTGAAAACTCAAAATATCAATATGGTGGTGCAAAAGTAACACAAGATTCGGTGGGAACTTACTGTCTAAACTAGCACTTGAAGCATTTGAAAGTCTACAGACTTTCTCTTCTTGTAATTGTTGAGGATGCTGCTATTAACGGTGAAATGTCTTACGAGTTTGGCAGCATATGAAAAAAAAGCAGGCAACCATGCCATTGGAACTGTCTTGATCTTCTTATTTTCTTTTTTCAAAACGCCTATGAATAGTTTTGAACTTAACCTTAAGTATGTAGGCCCTTTCACGAGGAAAGAAGGGATAACATTTGTGTTCTTTCTCTCATAAACAATGGGCATAAAAACAAAGCCACATTCCAAGGTACTATGAAACTGTTTTTTAAAGCATCACAAACTACTTTCTGGAATTAGCTGATCAACTTGGGTTTTGAAAATAAGTTGCAATTTTAAAATCAGAAAATAGGACGTGCATCGACAGCACTGTGCATTTGTGCAGAATTCATTACGTGATCCAATCAGCAAGTCAAAAGGGAGCAAAACCATACCCCTCTGTCTCCAATTTCATTACAAACTGCTTTTCAGTCCATTGTGTAAATGCAAATATTGCTTCCTTAAACATTAAAAAATAATAATCCCCAAACATCAAACAAAAATACACCAACACTCTTTACATTCCCCCTTTAAAAATACACAGTAATTAGACCCCTCTCTAATTTTTACTGCCTTGAAGAATAAATATGTAGCACTTACCTCCACAGCAAATGATGGCAGCGACAAAAAGTGATATATCACTATCATCCAGTTCCAGTGCATTGAATTTCATCGCAAAATCAAATTTTGGCTCCATTATATCACAGAATGGCTTTCTCAGGCTTTTCAGGAACTCTCGAGTTATAAAACCATTTCCATAGGCTACCAGCATCCCATCTTTGTTCATTACAGATGCTAACATGGCAAAGATGGCTTCATAAACTCCATATTTCAACAGCGTCACTTGATCATTCAAGTCAAGATTGGAGAAGCCAGGGATAGATTTGGCAAATTCAGTAAGTTCTGTGACAGTCTCTACAGATGTACACTGGCAGCAGTGGAAGATTCGGACTTCGGCTTCCTTGTTCTGAATTCCATTGGCAACCAATTTTGCTACCAGTGTCTTCTCTGCCATGCACAAGGTATCCATATCATGTATAACAAAGGGCTACAGAGAAAACATTATTAATTCATCAATAAAATAAAAGCTATTAATCATTGCTTTGCTAAAGAAATTGGATTTGGGTGAACCTTTTAATTTTCAAAATAATCTGTTTTTAAACTGTCAATAAACCTTGAGTTCTTTCATGTTTCTGCATACAGAGAAACCACGTATTCCAGAACTATGAACTGCAGTGTTTACAAGCAAGTCAGCTCTTCATACAACAAGGCAAAAAGCAAAAGGTAAATAGGTATGACGTATCTTCAATCTACTTTTATGCAGGATCATAGAATCCTTAGAGTTGGAAGGGACCTCTGAAGGCCATCCAGTCCAACAAGTCACAAGAATGTGACCTGTTTATTACTCTTATGTTCACTATCAGATTTTCATAACTATGTCACAGCTGTTCTTCCATAGAAATTGTGCTCAGCTTGCCAGCTACAGTAAGTCTAAATAATCTCTAACACCAGAATTCCATTAGAATGTCAGACAACACTAAACTTCAGTCTTGATCACACTCTTTTCTGTAAATAAAACCCCCTTCGTTTAAAAAATATTTAAAAATATATATATATACGCATCTGATCTGATCTGATGAGGTATTGCCAAGGTCTTAGAAGCCAAATATAAAAATGACACTTTGTCATCATCAAAAATGCTAATTTATTCTGCAGTGAGTTACAGTAATGTCAAGAATTAGGATCTCCTGAAATCAAATATTAATGTATACTTCAGAAGTAGGTAGATTATTAATTACCAACAACAAACCTCTCTCTGCCCTTTGTTTTATTTTTATTAATTAATTTATTTATTTTAAGATAAAAGAAAATCAAAATGTATTTTCCTGGAAGAGATGATAAGGTTAGGAAAAAAAAAAAACAAAACAACAAAACCTCTCCTCTTTCATATTGAAGAATGAGGAAATAACCTGTTTCTACCATACTAGTTCTGATTCCTCATTGTTTTTTCGCTCGTGAATTCACTGATACACATGCAAGCTCTAGCTCCTGATAATCAGACAATTCTAATCTGAGTGCAATTACATCAACTTCACTGCATGAATACAAACACAAAAATTAAGACTTAGTGATCCAGGATCCCTACACTTAAAATCCAGATTGCAACTTCTGGCACGATAACAAGCTTAAAAATGACTTTATGGAGATATCTACTTGGTAAGGTATTAAAGCATAGTATTTATTTTAGGCTTATGTCAGTTGTACCCTTCAAAACATTTACACCCATGCTTAATTTTTAGGCATCTCATCAGTCCAGTGTAAAAGACTGGCATTATTCATATGTTTCTCTTTTAATGTGCTTGTAAGGTTGGCTAGACCGGACTATAATACACCAAATTCCGTAATTTGGAAGACAGCTTGCTTACAATTTTCATAACAACCAATTTTTTTTTTCCTGGAATTAATTTTTTTTTAATTTGACTGCTGATTTTATCTTCTCTATCATATATACAAGACACCTCTTCATTGACGAACATTGATTTCCTTGCCATATTCAATCACTTCTAGGAAAATTCTGTTCATTGTCAAAACAGCAGGGCTCTCAGTAAAATCTTGGATAGCAGTTGTACAACTGCTAAGTAACTATTTCACAATATCTACTAATTAGCAATGAACAGAATACTGTAAGTAAAAATTCATAGAGAACATTCATTATTTTTTTCAAGACCTTGGATAAATTTCCTTGAAGAAAATTAAACTGTTTAGCATACATGCCCCCACAACCCTGATTCTCCCTTTCAAAGTAACCATACAGTTATGACCAGGAAGGTTGCATGAAGAAATGTGCAGTACTGTTAACAAAGAATTAGAAATGTGAGTTCCTTCTCTTCCTACCATTAATACTGTTGGGTTTATAGCAACAGAAACTCAGAGCTGCTGTATGTCCTGAAAGATAACAGTATTTAATGTGGTATCTGTGGCAGAAAAGCATTTGAAATTCCCTTCCCCCCCCCAATCCCCTTTCATAACAGGATATTAAATTTGAACCATTTTCCCCACCAATACCACAAGGTATTCACATTCAGATGCCCCATTTTGTTTTCTGATTAAGAACTGATTTTCGTTCCCTTACATATCTACTATAATTTAGTGGTTCCTAAAGCTATTATTCTCACAGTGCCTAAAAGCATTTATATTTATTATAGGGATTTCTTTTTGTATATCTCATTTCTGTATTAGCAAGTTACTCATTTTCTAAAATGATACGCTTAAGAATTGAACAAATTATTCTATCACCTTATGACCTTCTAGCTTTACTTTAAAGTTACATTAAAATTACTTACTGGATTGTTGTTAGTTTTCCCTGCAAGGATGACTCTGGCTTTAACCTTGTTCATATTGAAGTTTTTCAGGTAAGCATCATGAATTCTTTTGGCAAGTGATTTAAGATCTGCCATTTCTGAATCTTCTAGATAATTTTCACCCGTTAAAATTTCTGCTTTCAACTTGGCCTTCTCAGACCTCGGCATTCGTCCAAAACGTATTGCTGATAGGAGGAAAAAATTGGAAAAAAAAAAAAAAAAAAAAAAAAAAAGTTATAAAAAAACCTGTGCCTTTTCCTATTGCTGAACAGACAGCAAGATTTTCCATTCAGAATAACCAAAGTAGTGAAATAGTCCTTTCCAGCACAGATGATGACTGAGACCTGACTGATGAAACTCATCTAGTCAGTATACTAAACTGAAGGTAATTAGTCATTAGAACACAAACTGGTATCTGCAATGATGTAGAAAGCATGCCTTTTTCCTTCTACACTACCTAAATAGTTGTTCGCTCCTTATTGTGTCTTATAGCTCCCAAAGTGAGACTCAAAGTCTACCACGGGAATTCTAAAAAAATTCAGTGATGAAGGTCATGTCAGGAGCTTGGCAGAGAATACAAGTGCTGGCTGGAAAGCTGCCTGGGGAATTACTTAGCGGGGAGATGGGACCAAATTCCAGTGCCCATTCTGGACCTGCTAGGGCTTCAGCTATTTATGCACTGGATTTTTGCTCAGTTCAACATATACGTACTGTCTAGTGAGAACAGAACAGATCAGAGATCCATACTCATGCTCAAAGGTCGCTCAACAGGACTTTTTACCAGACCCAGATTAGCTCACCAAGATCAGAGAGGATGAGAGAAGAGTTTAAGTATCCAATCTATTTGCTAGGACATTCTTTTGAGGGGCAGGAGACGTGAGTTTGAAACTTCAATGGAGATAGGAGTCTCCTGTTTCTTGGGCCACTGTTCTTGCCACTTAACGACAGAATAAAAAGCATATTTTGCATACCTCTTCAATTTCATCTAAAGCCAAAAGGAGCTCCATTTTACAAGGGGCCCTGCCCTCTGATAGCGGCAAAGTTTTGAAAGTACAGCTGGTCACTTTTGCCTCATTTCAGCAGCTAACCAGTGGGAGGAAAGAACCTGACTGCTTTGATTGAGTCTAAGCCTGTGTAGAGTTAGCCCTTAAACATGCCAAGGAATTTTCTCACGATATACTTGGGGCATGATCTGCAGTGTAGTTTTGGACTTCAGTGGAAGGTCTGCTCTGAATCTGGCCATGAATCTATCAGAAAAGCGGAAGAATCTCTCTCCTAAAGTGAAATTTATACTGTAAAGGTCATGGCTGTAAATCTAATTAAGATTTATTTCCTGAGAAGCATGGCGTGCAAGTTAGAAGTCTTTTCCTTCCTTCCTTCCTTTTTGGCCCCCCATATGTTTGCCCCAGTAGAACTGCTGCTTCCTTCAGCTGGAGCACATGTAACCCCAGGGAAATCATTTCAACTGAGGACTAACCCTGCTGGCCAGCACAACTCTCTACTCAGTTCCTGCTCCTGAGATGTTACTTTGTTAGCTGGCACATTCTTCCCAAGCCACACAGAGACTATACACCCACTCCCAGTGCATTTTAGTATCAGTCATGGTTCCTCACAAAGGAGCCAGACTTCTCCAGAACCAGAAAGTTAACATTCTCAGTGTCACTTCCCAGGGCTCTAGATTACACAGCCATAGGTAGCTTCCTCAAGCAGGTAGCCACCCCAGCTATCTTGATGGCCTTGTTTCCTCAGAAAGTTTGTCTTCCAACCCACAGCTTTTCACCTAGCCCAGCAACTTACTCTCAGATCACACCTGCTCTCAAGTTCAGCCTTGACACAATCTGATTTACGTAGGGAAAGCAAACTGCTGTCATTTGGACACCTAAAATATGCTTTTTTGTGGCTTGGCCTCTCCCTCCCTTATCTTCACTCCTCTTTACCAAAGTTGCTTAGCAGGCTACATACTGTACATAAAACTGCCTTGTGGGGTTGAAATTGGCCTGTAAGCCACAGGCTTACCAGCCCTATATTAAGTCATTAACACAAACAATAACATAATTTTTTTTTAACTGTATATCTAAATGCTTTAAATTTTTACCATTCCCTTTAGCAAGCAATCTACCAGATACCTGCTCCATGGTCAGTACACACAGTCAGCAACCTCCTCCCCCTTTCCAAACCATCTGACCAAGAGCTGTTGCACGGAAGCCTACAAAATATTAGAGCCTGGTCTTCTACAGATTTCTGTCCTATGTCTTTCTCCCAATGAAACAGTTCTCCTTCTGCTCCTCTGCAAATCTCCTGACCAGAATTCTTCCAGTACTGGAGCTTGTTTCAATGTTACCAAAGTTCTTGGTGTAACAAACTAAATTCACCATTACATGGACAAACAGACAATCCACACAACTGTGTAAAGTTCTTAAGTGTATGTTTGGCAGGTGTTTACCAGTTACTTCAACTAGTCATGAGGGAAATTGGCACCCTCTGCCACAATATATACTAAAAAAAAAATACGAAGTTCAACTCATGTAAAGAAGTATATAAGTTTTCCAAGTGCTTGCTTCCAGAAGCAGATCCTGGGTAGAAACAAGCAAATTATTAAGGGCACTCTTACCTACCATTATGTGACATTCCAACTGAAAGGCACTTTTGAAAACGACAGTATTGGCACTTATTACGATTTTTTTTCTGAATTTTGCAATTGCGATCACATTTATCATAGATGAGTTTTAATCGGATTGTTCTCCTAAAAAAACCCTGTAAGAAGTTTGAAAAAACAACATGTAATGTTAACAAGCTGTTGACTACTAAACTTTAATCACGTACGTAATTTTTTTTTACTGTTCATTGATATCACTAGCAAAACAATGTGAAAAGCAAAACCTGTACAAAGGCATGAATTTCCCACTCTCTGCAATGAGGTGGTGTGTATGAAGGTGTGTACAGAATGGAAACAGGAAAGGAGGGATAGTTTTCATCCCTCTTCCCTGTGAGAGAACTGAGAACCTTGAGTACCAGAGTAAATCTGCTATTAAGGATTAAGTAAAACAGTCACACCTTCCTTTTGCATATATTTTCTCAGTGCCTGACAGAACAACCTTCATCGTTCACACGTGTAAGTCACACAAACACACAGAAACAACACATTTCTATTCAGCAAATGTGAGGGGTATTACAGGGCAGCACAGTGTGGAGAAAGAGCCAAGAACACAAAATAGGCATTACAGAAAAGCCTAGAACTCATCAGATCTTACCACGATGTCTTGATATTGCAGTGTAACACCAGACTCATACTGAGAAGTAATTAATGGGTTAGCAAAGCTTTTTAAAGTCGTTGCAACATTTTGCTTCACATGACATAGTAACAGATATAATTTAGGCTGTGAAGATTTCTGACCACAGGTGATTATGAACTTGCTTTCCATGTCCTCAATGTCTAGTAGAGTTTCTAGTATTATTCCATAAGATTTATACTTGAAATATCACCTTCTGACATGGAGCAGGAGAGAAAACTGTACACATAAAATTATTTCTCTCGCCTTACATTTTAATTTAGAAAAAAAAAAAAAAGCAAAACTTAAACATAAGAAAAAAAAGAAAAGAATTTTAGAATTCTTGGGCCATACAATTCTCCAAAATCATACATTAATGATAACATTAATTTGCCTCAGATATGTGCACTGGCTGCAAAACTACAAGAGGTACAATACTGATTCAAGCTGAACAGGATGGTGATGAGGTATTTGGGATTTAGTACTGTTACAATGGAAATGTAACAAACTTGCATGCTTCTCACAGCTGTACTCCCAACACAAATAAAACACTAGTGGAGCGAGTGGGCTTTGATTTTAAGTCATGGTTTAGTGTTCTAAGTTGTTAAACTAACTAACTAGTTCCACAAAAGCAGCATTACAATTTTCATTGTGAATTGCCTCTGCTTGATGAAGGTCTGGAATTGAGTTAAGGTATCTAGTTACAGTACCTGAACAAATTATTTCCCAAAGATCTCAGATGTAGTTATTAAATTATTTTAATGGCTAAAATTATACTAATTAAACATTTATGAAACAGATGCTTATCTTTAGATAACGCTGCAAATAAAGCGACATGATTTAGGCTCTTAAAAAGAAAATTATGACTGTACCTTACAACCTTCACAAGCATGTACTCCGTAATGGTAGCCTGAGGCTTTATCCCCACAAATTCTACATTCAATGTTTAATGCTCCACTGGATGATTCATCTATGCTACCTGGAGCTGTGGCAAAATTAATGGATGAAGGACTGGATGCTGGTGAAAGGGTGTCTAAAAGAAAAAGGAACACTTCATAATTACTATGCTAAACCCACAACAACAACACAGAAAAAGAGCTTATTAAAAAAAAAAAAAATTGTGAGTCAATAGTGAATAATCATAGCCATTAAGTGAATTTGGCAATAAGTGTTTGAAAAATAATCCTTATTTAGTTTATCAGCAAAACCACAAACAGAATACAGGGCATACCTTGCTAATTTCAATGAGGAACACAACGTCAAGTTGACAAAAAGCCTTACTGAAGTAACCCTAACAACAAGAACTAGAAGGCAAATAATGATCCTTCAAGATTCACCAAGAATACTCCACACAGAATGAGAGAAAACCAAGCTTTTTTGGACTTTCCTGCATCCCATTTTTAACTTTGAATTTTTCTACTTTTTGTCTGTTGGATGTGAATATAAAATTGTTTAATTCCCAAACTTAAAATAAGTAACTAAAAAGTACTCAAATAATATTTCACTCAAATGGAGGAAATTTTCTTGATGTAAAAACGTGCATAGAAGTGTCTTCACTAATAATGTAAATATGAAACCAAGAAAAAACATTCAACATGTATCTCCTACTAAAGACAAACAGCACAAACTATGACAGGAGGGAAAAAAAGAACCCAACCCAAACAATAAAATAGATTTCTCCTCGTGGCTTCAATTTTGTATTACAATAACCATCCAAACTGTCAATCACTCTTTCCAGAAAGGTTATTAAGAGCTCATCATGCTTTTATGTTTCCATCTCTCGTGCCATAATGTTTAGAATGAGATCTATTACTGCAGTAAGACAAGGGACATATTCCTAGCTCAAGTTGAATTTGTCCAACATTTGAAGATACATTTACAAATCCCACTGACTCATTGCTCATAGTTTTAAATGATGCTCTTAACTGAGACCTAAAATGCAGTTATACAGATTCATTTTCTAAAGAAAACATTTACTTGAAGTGAAAACATACTCCTTCACATCACTGAAAATAGACATTAAAAGGAAGGTAAAATGTACTTCTGAGATATCCAAGCAATAAAAGCCTTGATCAAATATTTTTACCTTTTGAAAGTAATGGAAAAATAATCTTTGGAATTTCATAAAATGAAATAAAATCTCAATTTTATTAGTAGATGAGCATGTTACAGAACCAACACCTTTCAGCTTTACCTGTTTCAATTAATATTTCCACCCTGTTTGAGGAAAATATTTTCTGAGGCCAGAATTTCTTTTATCTTCATCTTCCAACTTGTACCACAAGACTTCAGCAAATTAATGGGTGTGTTATTTTAACAGAAAGATTAAGAAACACTTATGAATGTAGGTCAGCAAGTATGACACTGGAAAAAACACTGGCACAGAACTTAGACTTCATTGCCAGCATTGCCAAGCCCACAGGCAGAGTCATCAACAACAGCCTAAAACACAGGATTTTTTTAACGTATAATTTTCATTTCTTTTTACTTGTGTAATGGAATTTAAGCCTTACAAGTTCATGCTTTCCAACTTCTCTAACAGAAAAACTAGGATCTTTTGCCATGAACACTAAATACTGAAAATAAGAAGGCGACACTAGAAACTGATCCAAATTACCATAGGACTTGAATGCACACACAAATAATTGAAAAAAAAAAACCAACCAACCAAAACTTCATGTCTCAGAAGAGCTATATGATAACTTAAAAACCAGCAGCTTTATGTTACAATGTAGTAAATTAATTCTATCCTTATGTATATTAAGGCAAAGCTATAATCAGCTCATATGTTCTTAGTGTCATTTAGTCATAAACAATAAATATTACATTAAAATGGCTTTCATTTCTATCACTTTGTATTTGTAAAAGAAAGTTTTATGGTAACCTCTCTTACCTGTTATAACTGAACCATCAGATCCTGGACCATTTCCCAGTGATTGGAACTCTGTTAAACTTAAAGCTCCAGAGCTATCGTCACCTAGAGACTGAGAAATGTCTTGTATGTTCTCCATATCTTGTAGAAACTCTCCAGATAAAGGACTACCTATATCATCCTCCTCTAGGGGAGTAAGTGGATAGAGATGGTTTTCAGTGTCCACCATTTTGGTCAAGTAGAGCAGTCACTTAAACTCCTTTATGCTGGGGGAAAAAAAAGTTAAAAATAAAAAAATAAAAAATCAGCACTTACAAATTCAGAATTATATATATATATATATATATTTGATTCAGTTACACACAGTACATTGGATAAATGAGTTCTGATCTGATAATGAGATACTATACAGCATTCTTTCTCCAGAAGACTTACACAAAGTGAATCTCTGACAGGTTAGGAAGAAAAAGTCCACAAAATACTTCAATATAAAGAAAATACATGACAAGATCTATTTGTAGATGTTGTTTTCTCTCCTTTGCTGTTGAATGTTACGAATTGTGTTTCTACATTGGGTATTATGTACTTCTCACCAAATGTCATTGAAAAATAACAAGTATCAATATGTTGTATGTAATAGAGTACTCTTTCCTCACCTCATCTAACAGGTTTAGATATGTTGATTGAGATTGATTTTCTTTAATCTCTTAAATTTGTTCAATAGCTCTCATGACACTGCAGAGAACAAAGTATGCCATATGCAATGCATCTTTACAGAGACTAGCAAAACTAATAGTTTTAGACCTACTTAATTCAATACATCTTCAGCAAGAATGTTCCAGCATATGCAATCCAACATACTTATTATTCCTAGAGTTAGCTTTATTTCCCACAATGAAATAAGTTTTCAAAGTTGCCTTCCAAATTCACCAACAGTGTCATCAACTTTGAGTAACAGCACAGAATCCTAAGAAGATTAAGTACTTATTTCACAAATTTCAGTTATTCTTCTATTGCTATGTCAGATGACTAATTAATAAATGCACTGCAGAATTAATAAATGCTGCTCCTGCTGCCAAGATACACTTCTGCTACAAGACACTCATTTTTAGACTGAGCAGCTAACACTTGTCTACACATACAAACACGTACTGATGCATTCAATGAGTTTGTGCTGGCTTTCAGAGAAGCTTTGGCTGTTCCCATGGTTCCCAATCAGTGTTGACTTTTACAAAGAGCCATATTTTTGCTGCCATTTATCATAGAGCATGAAGCCACCCAAAAACTGGCTATATGGGGATAGGCAAATACTCCTTTTCCAATTCAAGTGCTAGCTTATGATAAAAGCAAGAACCAACCAGCCAACAAAATATAAATCAAAAACAACCCAACTTTCCTTGATGCTATTTAAAGTTTCACAGAACTGGTTTGCTTTCAGTGACATTAAACACTTTATATTAAGCAATCAATCCATGTATCTGATAATCTGTAAATGACAGATTCATCCTATATGTGTAGGGTATTTATTCAGGACAAAACCCCACGATTTTTTGGCTATATAATTAACCGAAAGATTACAGTTATGTGCGAAACAAATAGCTGACTATTGCTTTACATACTGAAGAAGACATACAGCCATCACTTGTATTCGGTTGTATAAAAAGATCCTGAAATTTCAGACGAGCAATATCCCTACAATCAAGCCTTTCCTCCCCAGACTGATGGCAAAAGTCTGCCTTCAATTATATTTGTGTAACTTTACAAGGTGCTATTACCAGGTGGTATAACTGGGGCCAAAATGATCTACTCTGTGCAAGAGTAAGAGTTTGATTTCTACAACCTGGTATGTACACACACTTTTTAAGTGATTTATTTTTCAACTGCACTTAGCAGTGTGCAATAGAATATTTATCAGCAAGGCAGGGATTTTCATGTGTATCTCAACCTCAAGAGAAGCCAAGTAGCAATGGTTGTGATGCCCAATAATTTTAGAACAGGACATTGCAATGGAAAATAACAAGACTAACTCATACCATACTGAGTACCAAACTGTACTTGCTGTCAACTATATTCAGTACAGAACTTTCATAATTTGAAATTATTTCATAAAAACAATTCCAAATGCCACTTCTGAAGCTCAACAGATGTTCTGCCTCCAGGAATTGCTTTTATTTCTCTAGTAAATTGTACTGGAAGATACTATACTCCAGTTGAGAAATTAGGAATCACTTTTATGTACTTTACTTGCAAAAAATAAAAGCTACATTACTATCTGTTTGCTTTTCACTGTGAGGGAAAGGAGTAAAGAAATCTTGATGTATGTAATTTTTATAATGGGAGAATAACAGCAACTGTTCTCTAGCAATTCAAAGGGGGCTACCTAATCTATCTCTCCAGGGAGCCATCAACAGAAAGGGAAGAGAAGTCTGCCAGAGAATTTGATCAGCACTGTTCTGTTGGTGTGCTCAGTCTAGCACAAACACATTACCTTCCTCTGCAGACATCACACGTATACTTTGCCAAAGCATTGCTGGGGAAGTTTCAGGAAGCACAAGGCTTTGCATAGCTCAGCATTACTTGCAGCTCCTCACTGAATCACAGCCATCTCTGCAAGTGCTGCTTATTAGTCTACCACAAGTATTTTTAAAAGATTAAGTGAATACTGAAGTTCAACTTCCAATAACATCGACATTAAACACTTGATAGCTGAACTCTGAACATGGCAACAGCTCTTTCAGCAGTACAATCAGTTTTGCCCAAATTGCATCATACTATCCACTTTACAATAAATATTTAAAATTCACTAGCCTGTTTAGCTGAATTTGTATAACAAACTAACAGTTAATGAAGTATAAATAAAGTACTTTTGTTTTTAACTGTTAAATGACATACCCTTTTGTACTTTCAAATATTACTTGTAAATTACTGCTGCTTAATCATTACTGCTGATGTCAATGGTTAACTAGCTACCCTAGCAGGCACAGCTATTACATAACCATTGCTGAAGACTGCCAAAACACACTAAATCTTTCCACTACTGAAATATATTATGCATTTTTAAATACTTTTTTTTTTTTAAGAAGCATGTATACAAAACCTTAATCCAAATCACTTAGTATGCATGCAATAAAGCCCTTGCCTTTTGTACCTCTGTATCTTGTGCACGTTCACACATGCACATGCTTTCATTGGCAGGTTTCACTTAATATGCAGGGATACTGTTCACATGAATATAAAGTCTCCAAAATAAAGAAAGTAATGAGCATGAAGTTTATATAAACGATATTCTCAGTGAGTGTTTTGCTCTACAAGTAAAGCTGTACGTGTTACAAGAGCAGATGGTGGTAGCTGCAGTCTACACACACATTTGTATGAGCCAACTTTTCTTCTTATTCTTAAGACTTCAGAAAATCCTATGCCACAGAGACATTGGCAGTGTTTTCTCAATTCCCTAACAACATCTTAGTATCCAATCCCCTGCCCACATACAAACACACACACAAAGTGAACTGAAAACAAGATGATAAGACAGAAAAATGAGAACACAATTTCATGCAATTATGGCTTTAAAGATGCATAGGTTTTACTAGCACTTTCTCGCAGTCTAGTACCTCTGAAGTGTGCCTGTTTTATGAAGACAACCCCCTTTCCCACCACCACATTGCAAGTACCTCCTGAGCAACTTACCTAAAACTTGAAGCCGATTTTAAAGGAATCAGTCAGACTACCAAAGAAAAATGCCTACTCATGCAGCAATCCTTTTTTTTTTTTTTTTTGCTTCATTTTTGGAAAGGGACGATGGGACCCTAAAGCCCTTGTTGTTCCACATTTAATACCTGCACACTAGGGGCAATCCCTCTGAAGAGACAGATCTTTGAGTTGCAAAGGTCTCTGAGAAACAGTAACAAAGTCTGGATTTACTGCATAAACAAATTGATCGTGTAAAGGGCTTGCTTGCAAACATCAAGGTTAAAGTTGAAATTACCTAATTACCTTTAGGTCATTTTGAGAATGTTGTAGCTGAACATGAAACATTTAGAACTAGGGGGTGCAGCAGATAGATGCTTTTAGAGAGCTTAGGTGAATAGGAAGAGCCTGAGTGAATAAATAAACTGCAGGATATTTCCTATATTCTGCTTAAACACATAAAAATCATCCACTGGAAGTAATGTTGGGCACCTAGAATACAAAGTCTAATCTCCTATGGGGGAAGAAATACAAGCTTTCTCCTTTATCCTTTGATAGCTTTATTACTTTGTGATCTTTCACACCAGCAATATTTTGTATATTCCAAAGCATTAAAAAAGTTAGTCAAAGAGAATTTACAATGAATGAGATGAAAATTTTTGCTGTGCTACATCTTCCTCAAGGCTGCCAGCTGGATGCATGCACATACACACAAACTGAAAAACTGTGGGTTTTTTTTCCCCTTTACACAGCTGTACTCCAAGATACCATATAAAACTTGAAAGTATCCTTCCCTTTAAAACAAATCAAAATTCACATACCCTAATTTTTGAAAATTACACAGAACTTGAAAAGCTGAGCTCTTAAAAATTACAAAATTAAGAAGTTTATGCAACCTTAACTTTTTTTAGGCACTATGACAGTTAATGTATACTGCACAGTGTTCTTTCCCTGGATTGTTCCCCTTAGAATTGGGCAGTGCATTAAGCAAAAGTGGAATCACAGCTTATAGGACAACCCAGTCTGTATAAGCCCACAGCAGGAAAAAAGCTGTACATTTTTTGTTTGCTCAAATGGGAAGAATATTCTTTGCCTAAGAAAACTGTGAGAGAAGAGGGAGAAAATAAAATTCTTCCCAGAACAAGAAGTACTCGCAGAAATGGAGGAACACTTGAGTTTCTTAAAGGAAGAACTCATGCCAGAGTCCACTGGCTCACAGAAAGCATGGAGCATGACGAAATGGTGAGTTTTAACTTTCTTTCCTTGAAGACGCTTCTCTAATTGCATTAGGAGATGAAGAGATAACATACTTTTAATCTCACACTGAATGTACTGTTAGAACTCTGACACACTGCAAGATGTGAATATTGGTTTGTTTTTATATTACTGAGCCAAACCCCAGCAGAACTTACTGAGCCAGAAGGCAATATTTCTTGGGTCCCAGGCTTTTCTGTCCTATTGGATTTTAAAAGACACAATTCAGAAAGAGAGAAGAAAGGCAAGATTTTCATGCTGAAAATCACCAGTGCTTTTCCAAACATAAATCATTGGTCAGCACCATAAGGAAGCACTTGTAAAG